ACATCTCTGTTAAGATTATGTGTTTATGAGACTTATAAAGCCAAAAGAGTTATAACAGATGCAAGAATTATTCACAAAAAATAATACTCCGTATAGATTTTGCGTGGTTCACTAATGATGAAATAGTACAGTAGGTTATCTAGTAACTTATGATATGTTGCATTACATTGTATATAAAGATTAATATAAGATATGACTAGCTTCCAACAATAAACAATTTGTATAATTATCTGTAGAAGCGTCTTTTTGATTTTTTAGTTGATATTCATAAAACAATTTTCAAGGGGATTGCATATGGACTCACAGTTGAGGAAAAGATTGTTAAGTGCAAGTGTAAATGTATCACGTATCCTAAATTAAAAGATAAAGTAAAGAGCTTTTACTTTATCACCCAGATAGGCTATTTCTCCCGATGCCAATTAGTTTTAAGATGAAACCTCAATTAACTTGGGTTCTGTTAGCGAGCTTGTTTCTCTTGCCTATCCTTGTTTCATTGAATAAGATTATTAACCTATAGGTTTAGTAACAAACAAGCAAGATATTTATTTGTAAGAAAACCACATCTCTGATTCTCTGGGCCTAGAGCAGTGAATCCTTTCCTGCTTGTCTATTTTGTTCCTTCACAACCCCAAACCAACCTTGGCCTTTTGGGCTTACCACCTCTAACAATAATGAATTACTCACAAAAAATAACTTAACTAAATTTAATAAAGTAGGTAAAATATGAACAATTATACACTTAAATGAATTAAACTCAAAATCACAAATCAACTTGATTTGAATACAAAATAGAAACAAAGTGGGCTTATTTACTGTATGTGAATCCTATATTACATTATTACTTGTTCCATATGGATGCTTGCTGAAAAGTAACACAAGAAAATACCACTTGTTAGCGGTCCAACTCAAACAAAAGCTTAAGCTGAAGCTGAAGGTTGAGGCCTGAGAATAGGTTTATACTCAAACAAACTGGTCGAGTTATTTTACTTATTTATTTATCTGCCCAAATGTTATAAATTTGCATTTCGCTTCTGTAGGTTTGTCGGCTGGAGAGTGTAGTTAAATGGTGTATATGAACTGCAACCGATACATCAGATCATGTACTTCCCGTACTAACAAGGGAATGTAGCCGATAGATCAGGCTTGTATTGTCATAATTTTATCATCTCAATGGTAGGATGTCTTCTCTTAAACCAATAAAGCTTTAAATAATTCAGTTACATGCTTAATTATCAAGAGTTGCATAGCATTATCGACTTGGAAGATTAGTGCCTTGAGAAGAAGATTTGATGATCTAGTGGCTTAGGTACATATGTTGTGCACTTGTATACCTTTCTCTTTCCCTTAAATTTTTTTTTACAGATTATGATTGAATTTCCTAATACCATTACTTAAGCCGAGTGATTTAAGGATATTTTTGAAAAATAGTCATATTAATAATTTTAACAGGTTGAAACAATGTGACAACTAGTTCCAGATAAAGGGAGTATGTAATACGAGTTTCACTATAAATTTCCATTTCTCTTTAGTTTTGGTTATCAACATGGTTAGTTGTTGATAATGTGGAGTTAAGTTGTGTGGTGAAGTTTCAAACTTAGAGCCAAGTCATGATCCCAATAACTTGTCCTTGCAAAGAAAGAGGAAGAAAACATACACATGGAGTCAACTGATGAGAACAAGTTCAAACTTCTTTTTACTAATGCAACAAATTTTGTAGGGAAATAAATAGCTCATTATCAAGTTATAGTACATTTAGTGGTCCACCCACTTTCTAATCTTGGTCCAAACCTTGTTTTATCTATGTATCTCTACTTCATTTATCATGTTTGTCTTCATCATACTCATCTCTAACCTATAATTTGTATTATGAAATTGATTCTAATATAAAGTTCGGAAAACTTGTTTTACAGAGAAGTGAGAACTCATCTGATTGATCTGAACATTACCAATGTCTAGTACTGCTGGCCTTGTGATACCCTGCAAAGGTATGAATCTGAGACTCGTCGTGTTAACTACAAAATCTCATCTTCACTTTGTTGATTTATTATTATTGGTTTGTTGTATAGCTGCTGTAGCATGGGAGGCCGGGAAGCCATTGGTGATAGAGCAAGTAGAGGTTGCTCCACCACAGACCTTGGAAGTCAGAGTTAAGATCAAGTACACTACTCTTTGCCGTACTGACTTTTACTTTTGGGAAGCTAAGGTATATCTTATTTACCTAGCATTCTGCTTTCTTTCCATACTAGTTTGTAGCCCTTGAGGTTCTGAACTATGTTTTTCAAGAACTGAAAACTCCAAGTATTCCCTCTATTCTGCAGGGCAGTACTGCTACACAATTGTTTCCTCGCATTTTCGGTCATGAAGCAGCTGGGTATGCTCATATATTCTCAACTAGAGTTGATAAAAAAGCCGAGCTAGAGCTAGGGATAGCTCATCTTGGTTTACCAACTCGTATAATATTGATAGTTTGTGTTATTACTTACGGTTTATAACTAGAACTCCATTTAATCTACAAATCCAAGCCTGTTCATGATCTTATTTGAGCCAAGCTATGGAGTAATTGACCTAGCTCATTTAAATCTCAAGTCAAGTTCACTTACTTTCCAGCTATAATGAGTGAAAAGATATGCAGAGTATCCGATAAGCTTCTGTTTAAATTTTGACAGAATTGTTGAAAGCATAGGTGAGGGAGTGACTGATTTCCAAGTAGGCGATCATGTTCTTCCAGTTTTTACTGGAGAATGCGGGGAATGTCGTCACTGCAAATCTGAGGAAAGCAACATGTGTGATTTGTTAAGGATGAACCCTATTCGAGGAGTGATGCTAAACGATGGGAAATCCCGGTTTTCTCTCAATGGAAATCCCATTAACCATTTCATTGGAACTTCTACTTTCAGTGAATATACAGTAGTTCATTCTGGTTGTCTTGTTAAGATTAACCCATTGGCACCCTTAGATAAAGCCTGCATTCTCAGCTGTGGTGTCTCAACAGGTTTCCTATCATAAATTTCAGTCTTTTCCCATTTTCACCAAAAAATTGTGATTTAAAGCTTATTATAATTATTGTTGTTCTGATCTCAATTCAAGGTTTGGGTGCGACTTTGAATGTGGCAAAACCGAAGAAGGGCTCTACTGTTGCTGTGTTCGGACTTGGAGCTGTTGGACTTGCTGTAAGTTTAAGGCAGTGTTGTAAGAGTGGTAGAATATTTATTATATTAGCTCACACATATACTGCAGGTAGGGAAAGTATGTAATATGATGCACTTTACATATTTGTAAATTGTAACTTATATTCAACTCTATATTACCAAGGCTGCTGAAGGTGCCAGAATTGCTGGTGCATCAAGAATAATAGGAATTGGTCGAAATCCTAGCAAATTTGAGGAAGGTATAGATATTACTCCATCCATTCCCAAGCTTTCGTACCAATGTGTTGGCAAAGAAATAATTGGATTAACAGTACTTAATATCTGTTAAATCTAGAATTATGAAATGAAAAATGGAGAGCAAAAAAATAAAGAGAGAGGTTTGAAACAAGATCTGAAGTCCTTATGAGCCACACCAGCATGGAGGGTATGAAAGTGTTGTATTGGCAAGGTACAATTCAATAGCTGGACTAATGTATTGTATAATTTGTATCTTTCTTCTTTTTAGCCAAGAAATTTGGTGTCACAGACTTTGTGAATCCAAAAGATCATGACAGACCAATTCAAGAGGTAAAGTTTAATCTCTAAATCCCAATTTCAAAAGATTCAGATGGCTGCTGTGCAGCTCTGAAGAACCCATTTCCTTTAACAGGTTATCAAGGAGATGACAGACGGAGGAGTCGACAGAAGTATAGAGTGCACAGGAAACGTGGATGTTATGATATCTGCATTTGAGTGTGTTCATGATGTAAGAGTTTTGGTCCTTTTTTTTACTCAGACATACAAAGTAATTGATTTTGACATGAATTTTGATTCAGATCAGAGCTTTCAATAAATTCTGTATTTTTTTTGGGACTGACTGTACAGGGATGGGGAGTGGCTGTGCTTTGTGGAGTTCCTAGCAGGGATGCTGTTTTTATGACTAAACCTATTAATTTGCTTAATGAGAGAACTCTCAAAGGGACTTTCTTTGGCAACTACAAGCCCAAGTCAGATCTCCCATCTGTTGTTGATATGTACATGAATCAGGTAAAATGTTCTTGGATATCAATTTTGCTTAACTAATGCAAGAGCCTCTATCATATACCCTCGTATATTTTTAAATTATTATTTTTGCTCATTTGTCTGTTTTTAGCTCACTAAGAAAGCTTCCAATGAGCAAAGTATCCCCTTGAGTTACACCTAAGAACAAAGGATAGCCATTTATTATAACAAATAGACCCACTTATTATGTCAGTTTGGTTGGATCAACTCCAATTCAGTAATCAGTAAAGATCAAATTTTGGGTCGCTTTTGGATCAGATCATTATTGAGTAATCGTTTCAGAGAGTTTCAGGTTACAAGTTTGGTTGAACAGGTTATCAAATCAGATAAAAGTTTGCCAGCAATTAGAATTCAAACACAATGATTTGAAAAAAAATCTATCAAATGGGGAAAAGGGGTAAAGGTGGGTGAGAGGAATAGGAATAACCAGCATCTCTAATCTAAACTGTTTTTTTCTGGTAACTTACAGGAGCTGGACTTGGATAAATTCATAACTCATAGAGTATCCTTCTCAGAAATCAACAAGGCTTTCGAGTTAATGCAAAAAGGGGAAGGCTTGCGCTGTATCATAAGCATGGAAGAGTAAACAGCAAACATTATCTGGTCTATAAGGGTATAATTCAAATTTTCTTGCAGAATTCAGAAAATTGCATTCACTTATTTTTGTAATAATGTCAAACCAAGTGAACAAATATGCTATTCAAACTCACCAGTTGATTGAATTTGTACATGGCATTGAGACATGATATATATGCCTCTGTTTACCATAAAACAATGCAAATTTACTAGGAACTACAGTAGCAGTCACAATCACCTGACATGGAAATCCAAACATTCTACAGTCACTCTACATCATATCCCTGATTTATATAATATCAACCTAGAAGCGTACCTGGGCAAAGACCAAGCCCATAATCACCACGAAACCTAACGAATTGGGATAATGGAGCTCTGGTTCATGAGACTGCCACAAGTCACGAATAAAACAATACTTCAATGAAATACTTGATCATCTTCAGATTGGTCCAGACTCCAGACTAGAAAACACAGCTTCTGCAGGAATTTTTTTTTGCCAAAAAGCTTAAAGTATCAGTTCCTCAAGAAAAATGAAAACAAAAGCTCAAAGAAATTTCATTCAAGTGTGATACCCACAAAATGATTGGTGATACACCATTCTAAAAATTATCAAGAATTTACCCTATGGTTGGATTCTCATAGTCATTTTTCATGCTTCCACTAGACATTTTGGATCCACATATTCGTGCGAATTTAATTTCTATAAAAGTTGCAACATTCAAACAAACTACATATATACGTTTGAAAAATTGATAGCAGAATACACGTAAGTACTGTCAAGCTTGCAGCCTATTTGTATTTATCCATGATCTTCTTAGCTTCTTCTATAGCTTCGTCTGTTGAACCAGGCTTGTCGTCCACTCTAGGTCCTTTGTCCTTGTTGAAGGCAAGATAAATGAAATACACAAAGCCCATGAAACCCTGTTTTGCAGTTGATTAGATTACAAGTTAGGTGATGGTCAAAGATCTTCAGCCACAATCACAGAGATTATGAGACATTAATCATCTACATAGAATAGGAATATTACCCAGAAATCATATACTGTATACATAACCCCTCCCCACTCAACACATGAACGCACACAAAGATGTTTATAGTTATGTTTAAGGAAGGAGAAAGAGATCCAAAAGTAAGTCAAATACTACACTAGAATTCAAAAGTTAAGAAATTAAAAACCCTTTCAGTTTGTCACATCTTACTCAATTAAAATTGTGACCTTCACATACTAGTGTACTACAGAAAAAGTAGTCATAGATAATATGCAAGGAGCAGCACTTGACTTTCAAGTTTCAAACAGGGATGCTAGTTGGACAGAGGGGATTATACTTTCACAGAATCACAGGTCTAAATCCAATATGAAACAGTTTCAACACGGAATACTATTGTTTGGAAAGATTGAATCCAAACTCAATTCAAAACATTCCAAGTCCAAGATATCTATGACTGCATAGATCTAGATTTAATATTTTGTGATAATAAAGTATACCCCAAGCTTCATCAATAAAGAACCGTACAGTTTGGATAGGTGCCCTCAAGTTATCCGCTAGTCTATATACATCAGTTCATCATTAAATTTTAACTTCTACTGACATTGACAAAACCTTCTAGGCAATCTTCAGCATATTATATTGTAAATGAATGAATACAATATTCATCTGCTATTATTCCAGTGCAATACATCACTAGGATTGTGCTAAAAATAAGCTTTGTCAGAGGCAGAAAACTTTCAGAACAATGCACCAATCAACCTAGCAACATACTTCTTCACGAAGCTAAACTTTCTGTGCTTAAAACAGATGATTACATCTAAAATGCAGAGTACAATTTAAGCAGAGGAAGATTATCCTATGCTGCCACATGAACTATGCATGATCATAAATGCTGGATAGTGCCTATTGGTAAACTTAAGCAAACACCAGGGACGCAAAGAGAAAACAGTTATAAGCTACTATGTATATGATTCAACAGGAAACAGATACCACAAACGTACCAATGCGAAGAAAACTGTAGACACGAACGACCGAAGCACAAAAAGAGAAACAGCAGCAGCAACTACAGTTACAGACAGTCTTGCAACTGGCCTTGGAACAGCATCCTGACAATCAAAAAGAAATTAGATCAATCAATCAAAGCCTTAATCACATCAAAAAGAAATTAGATGAGAGGTTAAAACGACATAGCTGCAATGAGAATAAATTTAATCATCATTGACAAGAGTATCTTACTGGCACAAGATTGGTTCCTGCCTCAACTCCATCTTTGCCAACTTTAAAAACTGTCTGAATGGCTGCTTCAAATCAGATAGATGTCAATAGAGTCACAAACATGGGAACTGAACTCATATTCAATTGTGACAGACTAAGCAGAATGAAAAAGGTGAATACAAGCAAAACAAATCTACATCGTATTCAGCTCATGAAAACGAGTTGTTTTAGCATATGCATTCAGCTTTTGTATTTTCTGTTCTAGTCTTCTGCCATTAATTGCATGATTTCAATTTACACAAAAGGAAATTGAGATATTCATCCATTCTGATAAATTGATTAGAAGAGAACTTTCGGAGACCAAATCAACATTTTGATGCTTCTATGCAACGTCGTTAATCAAAGGAGAAAAAGGTTTGTCTGAGGTAGTTCACAATTTGCATTTCATAGTACAATTGGTATCAAGATTGGTTGGACCTCAATTACAAAACTGTCATACTTACTCATGGGCAAAACTACAAATTGAGAGCATTATCAGTTCTCCAACCTCGAAATAAATAAAATCCACGAATTCAGCTGTTTTCAAACCTAAGTCATTGAGACTACTCTAACATACATCATTTAAAGCTGAAAATCGAAGAATACATTTCATGAATGAATTACTTATCAAATTGTTGCCTAAATCATGAGCATTACTGGCCTTAACCTGGAGCCACCATTGGACACAAACCAAAGCTCATGAAATGGTCCGTTGTCACAAATATAAATTAGGAAACCTCAAATTAACCCAAATTCATACAAAAACTAAGGCATGTCCAATACTTTAAAGTTGAAATACATCCATATCATTATAATATATCTGAATTGTTATCCATTCAAATTGCTATTTTTGTCAAAATGGTATAACATTATTCAAAATCTGATTATAAAGAAATGACCTTTTAACAAAATAGAGCAGAATCATTGAACAAACCCATCACAAGAACAATAGTATAGAGTCATAAACTATGAATCACATATAGAATTAGCAAAATTAACCAAAAAAAAAAGAAATTTATTTATCTAATAATGAATTATTAGCTACCCATCAAACAAAAGAAGGGAATTAAAGCAAAAAAAATCAACCTTGGAAGACTTTGGATTGAGCATTGAAGATGATGGGCACAGAATTAGAATTCCGCCTTCTTAGGCCGCTAATTTGGAGCTTTGGCAGCAGAAATTTAGAAGAAGAATCAAAACTAAAACTGGAGGAAAGAGATTGAAAAGGGGAATTTGAAAGATTTGGGGTTTTGAAGCGGGTTCGAGGTGAGATGGGTTGAACGCCATAAACAATACTTGAACAAGAAGCGGCCATCGTCACTCCTTTGTCCTTTCAACTTCTGCTTCTTGTTTTACAATTGTTGTTTTTTAGTTTTCCTTTTTTTTTCTCGACACTTTGGCATTTTTATTCATTTTATTATTATTAATTTGTTAATAAAAATATAATTCAAAATATAAATGTTTTGCAAAATAACACCGCAAAAAAGTCACAAGTTAGATTATAACGCCACCACCACCAAAAAAAAAAAAAAAATAGATTTCACCATCACTTAATCCGTTTAGTGGGACCTGCCATGAACACGTATGAGTTGTTTATTGGCTTATAAAATTAAAATTTAAAAAAATTCCTACACCTTAACCCATCCACCAACATCACCGCCAGCTTCCCTACACACCACCGCCGGTCGGGCGACCCCATTGTCGCAAGCCCAACCAAGCCAAAGGTAAACTCCATAGCCAAACCAGCCCTATACCTCTATAAACTCCATCGCGCGCCCCAACCACCACCGTCACCGAATCACAACAACATCACACCACCACCACCTACCACAACAGCGTCACCACCACCGTCGCCAAACTCAGCCAAAACCGTTGCCAAACTCAACCAAACCCGTCGCCGGATCGCCGAAACCCCAACCCACACCCATACCAAAACCCACATACATTATGCTCAATAATTCTAATTATAGCTCTTTTAAAGATACATAAGTCTTGCTTATTAATTTCATGCTTCCTTGATACTTGAAAATAAAACATACTTTCATGATCCACATGTATTCAACTTGTATCATGCATGCTTCAAATATCATATTCACATGCTTGCATAATAATTCATATTCAACCAACATCAATTCCAAGCATATAATTAATCAACCAAACATGCTACTAATTCATCACATCAATCATAATTCATAATCCTAACATGATACCACGCATACACAAATATTTTTGTGCACATATGTACATTGAATATTGCCTAAACTCGGCCATACTCGTTAGAAATCACTTAGCTCAAAGCTTCCTACAAATAAAAATACATAACTATATTTAATCCGCAATTCTCACAAATTTTCATCTACTATATGTAAGGAGGGTGATCCCATCGTAAGGGGCACCCTCCTTAAATTCCCTTGGCCACTTAAAAGCCTAGGACTTTACACTTGTTAGGGTGTAGTAGGATTTGAATTCCTGTCTGTTTAGGAGACCTTGAATTAGAATTGATTCTATCATTACACTTTTTTGTAATAAACAAGTAGGAGTCGCCAATGAGTTTTAGGAAAAACTCATAAACCTCGTTCATGCCTTTCTTCCATGTGGAGTTCATGGAATAATTAGCACAAATAATAAGTTTACCCATGCCCAAATTGGTTTATAAACCAGAAATGAGTTCGGGAGCGAGGGTACTAAAATAATGTTTCTTTTAGAGGGGAATCGTTATCCTAGCCTTAGTGCGGACTCTACTAGCTCTTCCTTTTTTACAATTTCATCACCAAACAATATATGCAACGCGATACCTAAAACTATGTTAGTTGATTTTATTTACAAACATTAATTCACATAGGAATTACATCGTAAAGTCATTATTCTTATTTAATCAAATTCGTGAAAGAACAAGAAAATAAACAAGATTCGCCTTGGCTTAAGTAGTCAACCAACAATTATTTAATTCAATTCTAATCTTTATTTAACGCAAGATACTATGTGGAATTGATTAATTAATTATTTTAAAGGTGATCAAACAACACTAATTAATTAATTAAAGTCCTTTTAAACAAGAAAATAAATGTGATTTAACTAAGTTCTCGGGAATTTACCACTTCTCTTTACTAGATCTCCTTTTAGAACACTTATGGACTTCTTCTTGTTGGGGAACCTCCACCGTAGTAACAAAATATCAAAAGGGTGAGTGTTTAGGACAAGAAGGGCTAGGTTGCACAAGTTCACAAGTTATTTCGCCAGAGTTTTTGGTTAATTTCTGTCTGTTTAATCCTCGGTCTAAGCTCGTATTTATAGGGAATGATTAGGTTTACGATTTTGAACATTCTGCCGCAGCAGGTGTCGCGCGCAACATAATGAGTTGCGCGCGGCATCCCAGCGCAAGTGATTTGGTTGCGCTGCTAAGGGCAGCACAACTAATTGTCTTGCTCGCGGCTTTATGGTAAGATTCGATTTTATATTTTTCGTATAATTCTGAATCTTCCACAGTGCAACTCTTAGGGTTGCGCTGGGTTTCGCACGCAACTGAATTAGTTGCGCGCGGCTGCCCAGCGCGACTCTTTGAGATGCGCGCGGCTTTTTCTGCGGCAGCACTAAGATTTAACCTAGGCGCTCCTAAATCCGTCATTATTAAGGTATAAGCACGGGCTTAAGCCTAATTATAATCGGGTTTAGTTAATTGGACCTTTGTTTTTGCATTTTCTTTAACTTGGGCTAGTCTTTTGTGTTTTATGGCTTAACTAGTTATCCATAAGTATTCTTCACTTTGATCCAACATGAAGATGGTTTTATTTATCGTCATTGCACTTCCTGTCGGGACAGGAGGCCAAAAGTAGATGTCTACATTATAATACTCTTTAAACCTTATTAACCAACCCTCTTTTAATGACATAAAAGCCATATATAAAACCTTTTCTTTAAGTGGTACTTCAAATCCTTTAAAAATGAGTTAGATTTCACAACTTAAATAAAATTCCAGCATACTTATTTAATATGAAATATCTCTTTTAGACTAGGAAATCATATTTAAATCAATAAAACTTTTTTTTTCTTTTATGGGTAATCAAACCCTAACTCAATAATTAAAAAGTAGTGTATATAATTAAATTCTAGCATTAAATTGAGAGTTTTAAACTCATTAAAAACATGTTGAGACTATGAATTAATCAATAACAACAACCTAGCATCAATCCTTAACTAATTACACAAAATCTCCAATTTCTAGGGTTCATACTTTAGGGTTCTTGATTAAATAAAAATTTAAAATTTATATCAATAATTTAACATTATCAAAATCCCAAAACCAATACCAAAACATAATACCTCCTATTTAGGTGTATGCTTCCGCAATTTTATTTAAAGGTTGTTTATTTTTCCTTTAATTCTTATTTATTATTAGTTAGTAAATCGGGGGTGTTACAGGAGTATTTCATTTTTTAATTTTTACTAATCTTCTATTGTTTTTTCCCTCGGTTTTTGTTTTTCCCTTTCTATGTTTACATGTACCAGTAGATAAACTAGATTATTAATCATAGCATAAAATATTTTATAACAAGTTATATACTAATACGTGTAACATGTTTTTTTTGGAAAACAAAACATGTTATATGTATTTGTATAAATAAATATATAATACGTGTAGACAAATGTTTAAAAAAATTCGATGTGCGATAACACTATTGTAAATCAGTACAAATAATGCAAGTTAAGCACTTCAAATTGAGCTGACACGTGAGCCCTCTTCTTTATTTTCTTTTTTCAATTTCTTTCTCTCTTCTTAATTTTTACCCACTTTTACGATACTTCCTCTCTCTATCTCTTGTTTTTCTCTCTCCTCTCAATATTTACACATTCACTCTCTTCCATTTATTTCTTTGATATTAAGCTTCAAACTCTTCCATATCCGATTTAAGTTTAGCTTCAAATAAATGGAGATCTAAGTTTAATTTTGCGAAATGTTGATGAATAGTAAAATATGGGTCATTTTTGTGAAAAATATGGGTTACTTTTTTTTAAAAAAAATAAAATAAAAAAAAACTAGTGAGATTATGAATAATAAAATTAGTGAAAATATGAGTCACTTTTGTAAAAATATGGGTGACTTTTGGAAAATAAAAAACCTACTCTGTACTATTCACATGTGCGTAATGCTCGATGTACAGTAAAGTCACTGTAAACCCCGGACATGCAAAAGTTTTACATATGTGTAACATGTTAATTATAAATTGAGGACGCAATTTTTTTTTTTGTAAAACTTATTGAATACCGCCATCAAAAACTATCAACCACCATCACTTCAAGCAAAGAGACATCATAGCCCTTACTAAATAAATTTCCCATTTTCTTTCTCTAACATTAGTTTATCCACCACAACCAAGTCAACCCCCACTAATCACGACACCGATACAATCCCTGCCACCACATCGACCACCATAACCCATAAACACCATGTCAACACCCACCATCTACATCAGACTACCAACAAAATTGCGAAAGTCGACGAGAAATGGATGGTGATGGAGGTGGCTCATCGGAAAACAAACCGAGAACGCCACCGTCGGCTTTTTTAAGGTGATTTGCAGAAGAAACCGACGTCTGATCAAGGTGACCAGACAGTAACCGATTTTGGCCTCCGATTACGAGCCACCTAAATTATATAAAAAAACCTTCACTGGAATACTTCTTTTTCCTCGGATTTTCTACCATCCTGCCACTTGAACCACCGCTTCTTGACCTCCGCTTCCTCGGCTGTAATATTCCGTATTTTTATTATATTTTATTCATTTAAAATGTTTCGTTTTATTTTCAAAATAAATTAATTATTTAAATAAAATGTAAGTGTGTATAAATTAAATGCATATGAATTGAGGCAACAAAAACATTTTTAATTGGATCAATCTTATTTAAATGAGTGCACCAACTTATTAGGAAGTTGAGGAAAATTAAAGGCCTAATAAGTTGGCCCCGAAAAGTTGAGGGGGAGTAGGATTTAATAATGGCAATGTTATTATGATTTTGTTTTAAAAGGGGAGTATAAATACCTTAAAACCTCCATTCAAAAAAAAAAAAAAAAACCTTAAAACCTCAAGATTTTTCCAATCAAGATTCATAATTGTTAGATTTTATAAAAGTTTAAAAAGTTTTCTCTTTATTTTCTCTCTCCTCTTTCTCCTAATTTTTCTTCTCTTTTCCCCTTCTTTTTCTCTCCTTCCCACACCACTCACTCTTTCTTTTTCTTCCCTCACGCCTGCAGCCACCACCACCACCGGCGGCAACAGCAGCATCGGCGGCCACCACCGCCGACCGTCTCTCTCCTCCTCCTCTCCTCTTTTACGATTTGGTTTTTGAAAAAAAATAAAAAAAATAAAATAGCCTCTCTCTCTCTCCTTCTAAATTAATTCTACTAATTTATTGTTTTAAAGGCATGATTTTAATTATGTTTTGGTATTGGTTTTGGGATTTTGATAATGTTAAATTATTGATATAAATTTCAAATTTTTATTTAATCAAGAACCCTAAAGTATGAACCCTAGAAATTGGGGATTTTGTGTAATAAGTTAGGGATTGATGCTAGGTTGGCGTTATTGATTAATTCATAGTCTCAACATGTTTTTAATGAGTTTAAAACTCTCAATTTAATGCTAGAATTTAATTATATACACTACTTTTAAATATTATTGAGTTAGGGTTTGATTACCCATAAAAAGAAAAAAGGTTTTAATGATTTAAATATAATTTCCTAGTCTAAAAGAGATATTTCATATTAAATAAGTATGCTGGAATTTTATTTAAGTTGTGAAATCTAAGTCTTTTTGAAAGGATTTGAAGTACCACTTAAAGAAAAAGATTTTATATATGGCTTTTATGTCATTAAAAGGGGGTTGATTAATAAGGTTTAAAGAGTATTATAATGTAGACATCTACTTTTGGCCTC